TGCACTCCTTTTTTTTTTTTTTTTTTCAGTACCAGGGATTGAACTCAGACCCTTGCGCTTGCCAGGGAAGTGCTTATTCCACTGAGCCCTCTCCCTGGCCCCGAGCACTCCTTTTTTATTTTCATTATTTTGATGGCAGTTTTAATAATTCAAAGTTTAATTGGTATTGAGCATAGTGCCATTCGCGAGTAATATGAGCTATTAATGAGGCAGAGGCAGGCGGCTTACAAGTTCAGACAGCTTAATGAGTCCCTGTCTTAAAATTCAAAAGAAAAATGGGACTGGCTGGGATGTAGCTTAGCAGTAGAGCACTTGCCTAGCATGTGCAAGGTTACCAAGGCTTTGGGCCCAATTCCCAGTGCTGCCTCTTTCTCACCCCCCCAAAAAAAATGATTGGTGAATTAGTACCTACAAATGCTACATTGGATACTTGCTTTTTTAAAATAGTAGATATCTTGAATTTATTATTTCTTTGTGTTAAAAAAAATTTTAATGTTACACTTTAGGTATATGTAAATCATGATAGCAGATACATGCTTTTACAGTGTTTCTTTGTTTTAAGACAGGGTCTTGTCCTATAGTGTAGGCTGACCTTCGGTTCACTATTTAGCCCAGGCTGACCTTGAACTCAGAGTTATCCTTCTGCCTCAGCCTCCAAAATGCTGGTATTAGAGTCATGCATCACCATGCCTGGTGAGGATATGTGCTTTCTTCTGTACCAGAAATTGAACTCAGGACCTTGTGCTTTCCAGGAAGGTGCTATGCTGCTTGGCCCAAAGATACATGCTTTTTAAAGAACAGTTTTGCGGCTGGTGAGATGGCTCAGTGGTCTAAAGGACCTACTTAGAACAAGCTTAGCAAAGCACAGGGACCGTGGTTCAATCCCCCAGTGCCACATGCCAGCCAGCCCCACCCCCTGGTGGGCTGAGCTGGCCACACACACACACACACACACACACACACATAAATAAAATTTTTTTTAAAAGTTTTAAAATTAGGGCTGGGGATTATAGCTCAGTGGCATAAGTGCCTGCCTGGTAACCACAAAGTATTGAGTTCAATCCCCAGTTCCATAAAATAAAATAAAGTAAAATAATCGTACTTAGCTATTTTTTTTTTTCATTGCTTGAATGTTTGGCATTTCCTAAATAGAAGACCATCTCAAATTTGCTCTGAGCTAAGCACTTCTTAAAAAAGTTGATTTGATGAACTGAAAATGGAAAGAAAAACAAGTTAAATAGATAACTGTGTTAGCTAATGATCTTGGATAGATACTTTTTATGTTATTGTTAATAATAATAACCAAGTGTTACTACTATAGTATCTAAATCTTACTACTTGATTGTGGTAGGTCAGCCTACAAGATGATTTCTTTTTTTTTCAGACAGGGTCTTTGTAGGCCAGGCCAGCCTTGAACTCACAGCAATCTTCCTGCCTCAGCTTCCTGAGTTTTAGGATCACAGGCATGCACCACCATGCCCAACAAAATGGTTTCTAATGATCTTCACCTCCTTGTATGTGTGTCCCATGTCCATTTGTATATGGATATGGCTGACTTGTGTAACCAATCAATAGGAAATTGTAAAAGTTATGATGTATGACTTATGAAGCTGTAACAACAGACAGCTTTGGCATTGTTGTTTTGTATCATTTGCTTTGGGGAAAACTGTGGCATGTTGTGAGGATGTAAAACAGCTGTTTAGACAGAGCCACAGGATGAAGATCTGAGCCCCCCTGGCCACAGCATCAATTCACATCTTTGAAGCGGATTCTTTTTTTCTTTTTTTCTTTTTGTTGGAACCAGGGATTGAACTCAGGCCCTTGCACTTGCCAGGGAAGCACTTATTCTACTGAGCCATCTCCCTGGCCCCTTTGAAGCAGATTTTCCAGCCCTTTCACTTTGGTTTGGTTTTTTGGTGGTTGAAACTAGGTCCTTTGCACTGATCTACATCCCCAATTCCTTTCACATTTTTTTTTTTTAATTTTGAGATAGCATGCCACTAAGTTACCCTTCGTTTGAGAGTCTCCTTTCTCAGCCTCCCAGAGTATTGGGATTATAGGCATGTACCACCACACCTGGCCAACTGCTAACTTGTTGATTACAACCTCATGAAATACTGAGTAGAACACAGGCCACTATAAATTTCTGACCCATGAACACAGTGTGAGAAAATAAGTGATTACTGTTTTAGATAGCAAGTTCTAGCCAGGTTTAGTGGTGCATGCTTATAATCCCAGCATTCTGGAGGCTGAGCCAGGAGAATTGCAACTTTGAGCCCAGCCTGGGCAATTCAGTGACTTATTAGCAAAACCCTGTCTCAAATAAAATACACTGGGGATGTAAGTTAGTGCATAGGCCCTGGGCTCAATCTCCAGTACTGCCAAAACCAAAACCCCTACCAAGTTTTGCAGTAACTGTTGGTTGTGCAGCAATAGATAACTAGCTGATGGCACCAACCTCAAAGGAATATCCAACTTAAATTTTTTCTCAAAATAGTGTTCAGGGTTTTCAATAAAATTATGGAAAAAATAATAATAAAAATAAAAATATAATGTTGAGTGAAATAAAAAAAATAATATTCAGGAACTAGAATGGAACTGAGGGATAGAGAACTGACTTAGCCATGTGTGAGGAGGTCCTAGGGTCAGTCCCCAGTACTAAACTGTGCTAATAAACTAACAGTCATCATCACCATTGACTCACTTGCCCCCTAACTCTCCCATTGCATCAGCCTGGCAAAATGCGAACTTTGGGCTAGTTTTGTGTCTCCTTTACTTGTGGGCTGCTAAAGGCTACTGGAGAAAAGTGTGATTACTTGGGTACTGTAAGTTCTTGATTTCCATTTGGATGCCAAGAAAAAACCTCATTTTTCTACCTTTGGTCTGCTGTCATGCCACTCTTCACCTCGGCTATTGCGGTTGTCTACTTTCCACTGCGCAGATATTACTCACTTGCAGCAGATGGTCTTGCTTATCAGCACAGAAAATGGCTTATCTGCACCATCCTTTCTCCTGTTACAACAGAGCAAGTATTCCTCTTACTGTGTCATCTTTATCCTTCACTGGAAGTTTATCTTCCTTCTTAGATTATCCTCTGTCCTGTAATCTTAAACCCCTCCTTATAGGATCTGTCTCATTCACATTTAAATAAAACAAGTTTGTTCATTTATTTAGAGGCAGAGTCTCACTGTGTTGTCCAGGCTGGCCCCAGACTCAAGCATTCTTTCTGCTTCAGCTGCCCAAGTAGCTGGGACTACAGCCATTTGTTACTACACATCTATGCAAGGTATTACAGAAGAATTAATGGAGTCAGCACATATTGGCTGGCTTCCTGTTACTATACAGATACCTTACATATTATTTCCATTTTAAGGAGGAAAAGTTAATTTGGCTGACAGTTTTGGAGGCTCTAGCATGATCACCTGACCCTGTTGCTTTGGGACCTGAGGTGAGGAGGTGCATCAGGACAGGGGGCACCTGGCACAGCAGTCTCTTCCCTCTTGTCTAGGCAGTGAGAAAAATTCTACAGTTCCTCTGAGGGTCTGCCTGCAGCCACCTGGAGATCTGCCAGGGGGCTCCACCTCCCAAGAGTGCCATGTGGAAAAAGACCTGG